TAAACAAATATCATTTCTGACATATTTTTGCCATTTACACCTTGTTTTAAATATATTTTCTTTAATTTATCTAAAAATTCTAATGAATAGAACATATGATAATTCATGAAATTATTTTTTACAAAATAAATTTATTCATTTCCCCTAAAAATATCACAAAATATCAATCAACTTATAATGAAAATGATTAATCCGTAAAAATTTTAATTTAAAATACGAAATTTCCATGCCTACAAATGAAAGATATTGGCACCTCATGCAATTCTATTTATATCACATAAATTCAGCAAACAAAACTTTAACAATCATCAAGTTTGTCATTTTGCTTAATAAAATTATTCTACAAATACAATATGTTTAAAATTACCACTGATAAATCATTTTAAGATTGAACTTCAAAATACCTTAATTACACTAATAGCCACTTCTTTTGACAGTAAATTTTTCTGTTAGTAATTCATTGACAAATCTCAATTAAACGATGTGAACTCAAAAGAATATCTGTCAGTCAACCACAGACAACAGAAATTATATTTTCAATATTATCTGTCAATGCAAGGTGACATTTTTTTCAAAGATGTCTAATGAAAAAAAAAAGTAATTTGTGAAAACTTATGCTTATCTTCGAAACAAGAAATGAAAAGTTATATGAACCCAATGCATGCTAATCTAAAAACCAGATAATGAATTTATCAATGTTATTTGTCAACTCAGTGTAACAATATTTCTGAGATGTCAAGAGGAAAGCATAATAATCTTTGTGAAAACAAAATGGGGATCTAAGACTAATTCTGAGTTGCAGCATTGAGATTAAATCTCTAAGAATTGTAAAAACAAATCGGTACAGTCTTGTCTTTTTATCAGTCCATGCTTAATGTACTACCAGCAGTGGCTCAACCTCCAATGCTTTAAGTTAATAAGTCAAAACTGTGTTGATTTGGGAATTACATCAGGTAGCACATTACAGCATGCAGAACATTTAGTACATTTCATTAAAGTCACATAAAAAAATTCCTGGATTATCATCAATCTAAAGTGAAACTAAAAGAATGGGGCACTTTTGGTTCTTCATAGAAAACTTCATAAACAATGTCCTGATGATATTCTCGAGAGTTCAGATTTGATAGACACTCCCCCCCCCCCCCCCCCCCTTAAAAAATAGTGGATAGGAAATTTTTTAATACCAAAACAAGTCATTTTCAGTCTAAATTTGAAACAAAATTATGTTTAATTTTTTCTAAACATACAGAACAAAAAAAGGTAGAAGGATGAGAATCAAGGAACATATTTTATGTGGCCTAGTCAGCACTTTGTCATGGAAAGGAGTCAAATAGCAAAGTATCATAACACATTTCTTAATACCGTATTACGCAAAGCTTATACCATTAACCAAAAATAACAAATAGTATGGGAAAATAACTAGTAGCAATTAATTATATAACCCAAAATAACTTGAACGAATGTTGTATATCGTCATTAAAGTGTTATTTCTCTAAAAAAATAACCAATTTACTACTGCCAGCACATATACATATATTTTGAACTTTTGTACTTTCTATTGTATTTAGATCTTTTCCGAGTGTGAGATCTTTAATCCTTGGTACAAATTAACTCCATGGTTTATTTTTAGATATGATGTAAGACTACAATTTATGACGAGATCATCCTTATGAACTGAGTATCTAAGCATACATATACAGCCTCACAACGGTTTTATGTTTATATTTTTTTAATATGTCTTTATAAAGTTGTCAACATCCTTAAATTCCAATATCTACAGAGAAAGGAATGAACAATTTGCCTTTTCAGAATCTAATGAATTCTGGGTAATATTTTCACCAAAATGTTGTGATTGGCTTACAACGTCATAAACAATGGGAATTCAACCAATGATGTGATGGAATTTTCATTTTGGGGTATGAACAATGAGATTACCCACAATCCTTTAGATACAGAAATGGTGGATTCAACACTAGTTATAACTGGATCTTAAGTAATTAATTTTAATGAAGCTTTATATGGACTACCTGACAATGATTCATTCAAACGTTGTTTCTTTTGTATGTACATAATAATGTGATTCTAAATTTTGGAATATATCCTTTAAGAATTTAACATGTGTAACATACAACAAAATAAAATAAAATGAGTATAAATTAAATGTCAAAGAAACTCCAGTTTTAAACTGATCTGTGCATATAATATTTCCAGTCTCATTGTGTTATGATCAATAATTACATAAAATGATACAATAGAGTCTTTTTTTCAAATTTATACACCTCCACGAATTTTCAAGGCTATAACGTTATACAAATCATTTACATTTTGTAGTTTGTGTTCGCAAACACTGTATATTCTTCAATAACAGCAAGTCATTTGACCACTCAATCAGTTTAAAAATAAATTTGCACAAAATTTGAAAGACTGAAAATGATATCTGAAAACCACAACACTCATTAATATTGATGATTCAACACTTGATACATTTTGTTTTTACAGCAAGTTAGAAGAAACTCAGAAAATCCTGGAACATTGTTTCTTGAAAACAAACTAGGCTTACTCTTCATTACTTACTGACATTAATTAAGCAACTTTTGTCACAATTTAAATTCTAACACTCTTTTATAAAGCAATTGATGTTTTCATCCAAAGTGCTCAAAATGAAAGGGAGTATTTTGACTGGATTTGATTAATTTGAAATCATGCTTGAAGTTGACGGTGGCAAGATTTTCCAATTTTCTTCCGTTTGTATCTACTAAACTGAGTTTTTAACACATTTTCACACTATGATGCATACTAATGAGTGAATGATGGAAGCGCTGTATGATACATTTGGAATGAACTCTTGTCAATACGGAGTTGCCTACCCTTGCCCCATCTAAATTTGTTATGATTAGACACCGTTACTGAGATATAATGTTAAAATATGGAATAAATAAATTACATCGGATTAATGGCGTAAAATGCCATATTTACAAGAACTGAAACTGAAAGCGGCAAGACGAAATCTGACGATGCCCACAAATTAAAATCTCAAAAAAAGCTTGTCAAATATTGCATTATTGTACATGAAGTCTAAAACTATAGCTGTTGTCAAAATGGTCGATTAATGAGTTGATCTGAACTGGCAGTCCGTCCTTGTTGTCGTAAATCACCATAAGAACGCCTACTTTCCTGAAATCAAAGAAAATATCTATATTGATTTGTTTGTTCATGGACTTGTACGAGTATTGAAATGTTTGGTATTCCACGGTCATATTTATTATCAGCCTTATCATATATCTTTGTTTGTAAATACCCTATATTATGTGAAGTTCATGTCACTAATTCTGTAATGCTTGATTTGTGGAGATATACTTTTACATTGAGTTTCAATCAAGCAAAAAATTTAAGCATGATCACAAATTAAGAGTTTATAAATATCACACAACTAAGTTCACTAGCACTGTCCTGTTCATTAAAAACTTTCAGAAACTATCTACCATTTTTAGGCATGTAATTCTTCATTCATATATAACTATGATACATATAGAATGCTGGTTGATTTTTAAGGCTAAGACAAAAACTATTTTAAGTATCAGTGTAATACAATGTATTTTTCTGACAAAAAGTTGAAGTGGGATCTATCACAGCAGGGTTAATGTCCGACAGATAAACAACATCAGATTATGCTTCTTTTCTTTTTAAGCGGGTTACAAAGTTGAATGATTGATTGTTGATTGCTTTATGTCCAGTGGCCACAAAGTTGAAACTGATGATTTAGTTCCTTAAAACACATGAAATTTTTGTCACAGGAAGTTATAGAAACAAGTTAAGTTTATCATTACAATAATTGGATACTTACACTTAATTTTTCATCTTTACTATTTGTGTTGAGCACTGACATGGAGCTTGCTCTTTTCATACTGAAAATACAAAGGACAACATCAAAGTTTATTTTTAAATCGATGAAAATATAAACAATTTCAAACTGCCTGTCTACTGTCATACATAAAGAATGAGAATTTCAGAATTTACATTTCTCTTCATCAATCAGGTACACTGTACGAGACTAATTAACCATGGAACAAATATCTTTCTTAAGTGCTTTATAATAAAAAATTTTAAGCAAAACTTTCTTTTATGCAATTATTTTTTCAAATGTAATTTTCTTGGTAATTCTATACTGGTTGCTGCTGTGATGAAATCTGCTCTATTGAAAAGGAAGCATTTGTTGCAGGCATTTTGTGTTGGAAATGGTTCATGTTTAGGTGTGCAACTTTCAAAAAATTATTCTAAAAAAAATAAGTTAAATATCTAATCTAAAAACATATTTACTTTTAACATAATCCATATACTTCATATTGCATACATTTATACATATATATATATATATTTCAATTCATAATATGATAATACAACACAAGCTGGATTTATAAGGCTGATTTTGACATGTTCATAAATTAATTCTTAAGTAATAATCCTGTAATTAACCATATCATTAATTAATAGTTCTATTATCTGCATAAATAGTCTAGACCAAATATCTGAAATAAATATTATTATCAAATATTTTGTCTATCAGAGATCTATATAAGCTGGAAGAAAACATGATCTTGGATTTTATCAAGCACAATATAAATAATTCCACATCAAAGTTTGCATCATATTAATAACTTCAGAAGAAATTTTCATTTTTTTTTTTCAAAATTTAAATCTAAATATCTAAAAATTTTATAAATTTTCCAAAATTTAAATTTAAATATCCAAAATTTTTCATTTTCCAAATCCAAAATTAGAAATTTTTCAAAATTTATATCTAAATATCTATAAATGTTCATCTTTCCAGATTTTATTTTGTAATTGGAATACACGTATAAAATTCCAATTATCCCCAAAAAATCATTGCTTGATAAAATCCACATGTAGATGGTCTAGCGGTCTGAAAAGCTGAATGTCAAGTGCTGATATACAAATGTATACAGGATTAGTGATACAGGGGACAAACCAATATTACAAACCTCCTTCCCGTCATATCATTAGTATCAACGTCATTTGTACCCCAATAGCGAGGTAGAGGGGTATTTTGTTCATAGTAATACCAACTGTTATAATAAATCAGAATATTAATATGGAAACACATCATGCAGTCTATATCTAAAAGAGGTCTCTAAATAAAACCAGATCCTTATAATGTTTGCTATATCAATAGTCAAGATAAACCTTACCAAAAAATACAAGTGTCTTTCTTGTTTACACATTTTTAAAGCAGTTCAAAATGTTACTTTTTATAAATCATAAAGAATACTTTTCATTCATGGTTTTTACATATACTGTAAATTCAGATATTATTGCGATATTTTTATTATTGCGAAAATTACAACTCATATTTAAATTGTATAGCTTTATTTTATGTAGCATTTCCTGTGTAGCATTTCCTGAAACTTCAATAATTAATCTCCATTTTTGTCAACTGATCAGCAGTAGTAATAATAAGTGCAAGCAATAATTTATGAATTTACAGTATTTATTTTGACTTTTTATTTTCATTTTCCCTTATGTGTGATTTAAATTTAAAAGATCTTCAGCTAACATCTGGGCTTTGTTATTCCAATTTCAAGTTTCCTAGAGAAATTACATATCTAAGTCTAGTAAGGATTTGTTCCCCATTTAATGAAACCTCAACTCAGGAGTTAATGTTGGTAGAGTTAAGGTAAGCCCATTTAGCCTTGTTGGAAAGTTGATAGCTTTTCCATGGAAAATTGTACTTTAAAAATAAATAAGTCTTGTAAATTGGAAAGAAATATCTTTTAAAGTGAAGATGATATAGCAAAATCCATATCTAAATACAAACCACCTCCCGTTTCCAAATAAATATTAATATATACCTATAAAAAAAAATCAGGAATATCCATTCAAAATAAAATGTTATCAAAGTAAAGATCGGTGTTATTTTAGTATAAAATGGAAAATGGGCAAATATTTCAACAAATCTGTCGTTATCTTAAGTTTGTGTGCAGTCTTCAGCATTAACTACAAGCCCCCTACTCCAAGACCAATAAACAACTTATCAGGCTAGTAAAATCTCCCACAGAATCCTTTTTAAAGATGCACAGAATGCCTTAAAAAAGTCATCAAGGCCAACAAAAAATGTTGTGTTTGAGATGTATAAAAAATTCTCATTTGAAAAACCAGTACAACACAAATTAAGATTTTCTTTTAATAGAACTGTTATCATTTGTAAAAAAATTGGCATTATGCAAAGAAACAGTGCCAAAGGAGAAATAAAAAAACACACCATTTCTACTTTTGTGAAAAATAACAAATCAAATCCTACACGTTAAGAAAGGATATATGATGGAGATGAGAAAAGAAATTATTTTGAGGTGACTTTTTAAAGGCCAGAAAAACCAGACGTTCTAATGTTATACACGACTAGCAAGTTATTAGCAAGTGTTATATTGTCTATAGAAAGTAATACCTGCTATTGCATTCAGAGAGCGTGAAGACCAAAACAGGCTCACTACAAAAACACAATGGTCTTGAAAGAAAAATCTTTGGTAAAATGAGAATTTTTAACGAACAAAAATAAAAAATGACAAAATGTTCAAAAAATAAACCAAAAGCAAATACTTGTCAAAATTGACAGAATCACCAAAACAATTAAGGTCAAGTTGCAGTAATTTAAAGACCTTGTAGACATCTATTCAATAGCTTTCATCCAGCAATTTTCCTTACTTTTGAAATATTTGAAGAGTATACAAGATAGCTATCACTATGAGTGAATGCAATTCAATTTAGCAAACAACAATCAATTGATTTTGTGAACTCTTTGTGGCCCACATACAAGTCATGTAAATTTTTTTATGCCAAATAAAGACAATAGTTGAGAGCTATAAATATTTAAGATTAAAGATTTTGCTGCAGGATTAAAATGATATACATTTAACGTCTGCATATACAGAGAAAAAAATAGCAGGGCTATATGGAAACGTTGATACAATTTACCCATGAAACTGTTGGACGTAGAAGAAAAAAACTTACTATAAGGTTCATCAAAATAAAATTAATTCATCTATAAATTTTTCATCTGTATCTGTAAAGGTTAGTCTTAAATTACAAAAGCATTCCACTCAATGTAAAACACCTTTTATAATGAACCTCTTCATAATTTTGCATAGTCCGAAGAAGTTCTAAAATTCATAGAATCAAATTTGTGGGACATTTCTACTTTAAAATTACTTCAACTTGACCTTAATTAAGTAAGACATTTTTGACATGACATTTTCTACATTTTTAAATCATTATTTCAGATTATTTTGATTTTTCGTATATATTCTTCTAGTTATGAAAGATGTTTTGTTAAAATAACATTTTTTTCACATCTAAAAACAACCTTACCATTGCAAATATAAAAGTACAAATATACAAGTTATTTTAGTAAAATGTAGGAAATAATAATATGCAGTAATACAATTGTTAACAATTTTAACAAATAACAAACTGCTCTATAAAGCTGCAAGCTTTAAAAGTGAGTAGGGTTCATGAAAAAGTAACCACCAAATTAAAAAAGGGAACATTACAATGATATCCGCTTACCAAATCTGTGTTTACAACACATTATACTGTTTACAATATATAAATGCAAGGCAAGATTAAAGCAACAGATGAAGGACTTCCAATGTAGGTTACCCACAATTCCTCCATCACCATAGTAACTTACCTCCCAGAATTCTCGTCACCTTTTCCTTTTAATTTCTGCACCAGTTTTGCACTGCTACGTCGTATCGAGGCTCGTAGTTTGGAAAAAGACCCACTTCTCTTTAATTTGCCCTACGTAATTTGAAGGTAATAATTTAATGATGGAAACAAAAATTAGGACAAAAAACGCAAAAAACAACCGAGCTGCTTGAACTTAAAATAAACCAAGGAAACTCAAAGACTGCAATTATCTTTTTTTAAAGCTTATTTTTCTCTCAACATTTAACAATTTTTTGAAAATTGACTGCCAAATATTTTTGAAATATTGTGACAAGGTCGACTTTAAGGAAGTATAAGTACAACACAGCCAGAGATTAAATTACGTCACTGTTAATAAATAGCAAGCTACATTTCAGGATTATCACACGTGCACATACATATATAGTAAGTTCAGGTCAAATTTTACATCTTGTCACAATACTACTTAATACAATGCATTTACTTTATTAATGTGAAAGAAAATCATTGAAGTGAAAAATTAGCAGGAGGCATGCAGGCTGAAGTTATAGACTTTGCACTCATGCAAAATAATCAAACACTCGAAAAAACTAGCTCAACAGTCATTTTCTTTTTCATTTATTGAAGCCGCAGTTAAAAGCGTGAATGATTTGTTAATGCGTTTTCTTCATTCTGTGGACATATTCGAGAATAGATAAAGTTACTTTTTTTTTTCAGTAAAAAATTATTTGAATAAAATGTACAATTCTATATTTAATTTCAAGGTTCCTATATTCCGAGTTAAAAAAAACAAACATGCAGGGTTAGAGCATGCAGACCGATCACCTTTATATAGCAATCACCAACCAGAATAAAAAAAAGTGGATTAATTTTTTAACTTTACAAAATAAAATTATAACAAAATGGTGAAAATACTATCCTCCAAATAAATAAGAAACGAGGGGAAAAAATCATTCCAGGAAAGCATAAACAAAATAAAATTATAAATAGCAACAAAATTAACAGCAGGATGTGGAAAAATGACGGGTTTCTAAATCTAAAAGATTTTGGCTGTGCAATACTTATACTTACCAGAAACGAACGATACTTACGTCGTCATATTCTGTAGAATTATTGTGTGATATGTTTTCCATAGAGCCTTTGAGTACTCTATCTCGGCTGGCCGATCTCCTTCGGTTGTTGTTTGTATATTCACTGCCTATGTCAGTTAAGTTGGTCTGTTGTTTGACAACATCTAAGGCCTATCAGAAAACCAAAATGTGTCAGGGATATATAAACAACCCCACAGTCTTGCCGTGCAGGGCAGCTTAAATAGCCCTTGCCTTTCAAAACTACCCCAATGTTACTACACCTTGCCTTCCAGGCAGAATTTAAAGCCTTTCTCAAGTATCCCAATGTTAATCTTGCCTTGCATTTTATAGACAGAGAAAGCTTCTTAGAAGATATTTATTAGTTAACAAAACATTACAATTAGAACATCATTAATATCTGGATTCAAATAAGACAAGTTTCGTCGTCTTTTCTGCAAGAAACTGCTTTTCTGGAAAAATCTAGATATACAATAAGAACATATACAAACATGCCAAAATCAGCCTCCTTCTCATGCCTGTGTTAAAATCATTTCGTTGTAGTAAACTATCGAAAAGTTGTTTAACCTAAAATGTTGTTCAATGACTAGAAAAATATGTGAACATAATTTCAAAGAGGTAAAGCAGAATCTATGTGATAGTTAATGCAAGATGCACGTGTTGAATGGACCTAACTAAAAAATTCTTGCATCCAACATTTTAGAGACTCAGAGTATGTCATTTACTTATTGCGAACCCAATGAAAGTTTTCCACAGTGCCATCTCTATCTTGACCAGGTATTTAAACTTTTGCAAGTTCACCTGTCCTATTGAATAGATACAATAGCTATTGTTCTCTGTGTAGTTTATTCTCTGGGACCTTTAAATTTCTTCTAAGAGAAATCTATCATTCATTGATTAAATTACCTGAGTAAAAAAAATTTCTTATATATAAACAAAAATACTGTTTTTATACTCATTAACTGCGTGTGATGATGTAGTTATTCAATATTAATAATATATTTTCATTCAGTTTAATATAAACATTGATTCAATCATAAAAATTTGATTTCTGACAAAACTTTCAACATTGTTCCTTTTAAAAAAAAATTTGTTTGACCTGAATAAGAACTTGAAAATAATGATGTTTCAAATTAAGATCTTCTTAAATGTATTCTATAACTAACCAAAAAAAAATCAAATTTCAATAGGAACATTGATAAAATTTTTGTTAGAAATCAACTTTTTATGATTGAATCAATGTTGATATTAAACTGAATGAAAATATATTATTAATATTGAATAAATACATCAGCACACGCAATTAATGAGTATAAAAAAAGTATTTTTGTCTATATATAAGAATTTTTTTTTACACAGGTAATTTAATCAATGAATGATAGATTTCTCTTAGAAGAAATTTAAAGGTCCCAGTGAATAAACTACACAGAGAAAAATAGCTATTGTATTCATTCAATAGGACAGGTGAACTTGCAAAAGTTTAAATACCTGGTCAAGATAGAGATGGCACTGTGGAAAACTTTCATTGGGTTCGCAATAATATTGACATAAAAGAGTATATCATTTGCTAAATATTGACAATCAATACTGTGGATTCATTATTTTTCGTGGGATACCAATTTCCTATATTTCATTGGTACATGTGAACCACGAATTTAAATGTTCAATGAAGTACAAATTTGCTATTGGGTTGTATGCAGACTTTGACAAAACCACTAAATCAAATATGCACGAAGATGCAAGATTTCCTCAATCAAAAAAAAATTGGTACCCACGAAAATAAATGTATCCACAGTTAAAATGAATCACTAAACCAATTTTAATACTGTGGATTCATTTAATATTTTCATGGGCATTAATTTTTGAGGATTATGGGGAAATTGTACAGTTGTGCAAACTTGATTTCATGGTTTTAAAACATTCCCGATACCATCCTATTGGTTATTTGTGTTATGTTGAACACTTCACTACATGGTTTACCTTTACCCACAAAATCATTGCAAATTTGTACCCCCACTAATAATAATGAATCCACGGTAAACAAAAAACAACAACATCTACTGATAGAACATAGGAACTAATACATACAAATGTTTATATACGGTGACATTTACAATTCAATCACATGATGTAATGAACATGTAGTAAATGTATTGGCAGAAATAAAATCTTCAAATGTGAGGCTATACAAAATCAGTCATTTGATTATCATTCCAAATTCACATCCATCTTAATAATATTCATATATCTAAAATTTCACGATGTGTCTATCCAATATCTAAACTCTAAATTGCCTCAAGTCTTTTAAACATAGCCTAAATTTCCATTCTTTATTTTGCCAAGCAACTTTTTCTTTTCTTTATCACTTTAGCTGTTCAAGTTTATCTTCAAATTCAACCTAATTTTGCTTAAATTTTAAAGGGACACTACTTTTTGTCTGTTTGATTAATTATTGACATGGTAAAAAAAATCCAATATGAAATGCTTCAATTCTGTCCTTTTTTATTTTTTAAAGTGATAGATACATATCTATATTTATTTCTTATGGCCTAAATTAAACCAATTACAACAATCAGCATGCTACAAAGTAATATATATAGTTAAAACTATCAATTCCAGTTCATCCCTAAAATATATTTATTGTAAAACCACAATGCTTTCTAGCTGACTTTTTTTTCAATTCATTTTCTGAGTGAAAAAAATTAAATGGCATTTTGGTTAGGCATCAAATTGATCATCCTTTTCTTTTTACATGAACTACAATATCTATACCTATATAAAAATCAGTACAAACTTGGATTACTTTTTTATTTTGATAAGTGCACTGAAGACATTTTTCTAATCACTTTGTAAGAGCATTGTCCTCTAAAAGATGTGCCTTGAGGTATCAAATGAATGCAACCATTTTGATGTATAAAGTATTGTCTGTAAATTGTGGCTAAATGTTCAAATTATACAACCCGTTGAAAATCAGAAGAAAAACACTGATTCAAATTCCATGGACTACCTATTTGTTGTAAGCTTGAAGCTTGTATCTTTTTTTTATAAAATTCTGATAAAAGGCCATTTTTTCTTTTAAAAATTAGAAAAGTTATGGTTTGAAATACTCTGCTTTTCAGTTTGCTTGTTTAAAGTCTGTAAAATCCATGTCTTCTTTTGAATATTCATATAAAAGGAAAATTTCCTACTTTTTCACCTCTCTTTGTATAAACATACAATCACTGATTAACCTACAACGAGCTTTAGTTACTATTATTACTCCATAACAAGACTGTTAAACCAAAATAACTTGCTTGCCATTTTGTTTATTCAATTGTTTTCTTATTACATTTTTGCACATTTTCATCTGATTTTTCTTGATGCCATATGACTTGTGGAAATCAACTATAAATCGTGACAGTTTTCTTTTAACATTATAGTTGTCGTAAACAAGATTGTCCGAAGACTGATTTTATTTTTTTTCAACAGCTACATAAACTTTGCCATGATTGAAAGTTTTGTACATTTAAAGAGCCTTGAGTGTATGACCAAATGTTTCTTCCAAAATCTTTTTCTTTAAAATGACAGCCCAATTTCTAATGATTTCTAAAAGACACAAAATCAAAATATACATTTCAAAGAACCAAATCCCACACAGATATAGAAAAGTGTTCATATCAAATAAATATCAACATTCACAAACATTCCAAGTTACTTACATTTTTCTTGGACCGCATTGCACATTCCTCTAATGTTTCGGCAGCTTCATACTTTCCCTGACGACGGTATAAAGCTCCCAAATTTTTTAATGTTGTGGAAACTGTGGGACTATAAAAAATATATAAATAATAATTATAAGCTTCGCATTTTGATTTTATAACAAAGTACTTTTACTTTATTCATTGGTAACTTGTAAAGGGCAGTGTCATGCATACTACCACTTTATCTGACTAATATAACAAATAGAAAGGGCTGAGAATTGGGTTAAACAAAATTTCAATGAAAGCTCTATATAAGTCTGCTAACCCTGTTTAAATAATTGCAATGGGATTGGGGATATTTTAAATAAATAATGGGCAGTGGTCGCATTTTCCCATAGAAATCCTTAAATGTCCTCTCACCTTTTGAAAAAATAATGAAGTGTTGTATTTATTTGGCGTTTCTATGTTCCCAGACGCAGTAGAGCTTTGTTCTAAGGTAATGATGATAGAGATGATGTGATAAACGGAGGGTATGCCCTCCTTGTCATAAATGTGTGTAAACTGAGATAAAACAAGCATTCTGAGAGTATTGCATGGCAATACATAGTCCTCTACCGGTTAAAAATTCATTGTACTGGAACAAAATGCTAACTTGATCTATAACTTGTCATGGTGTAAACTATATAACAAATATCAAGTCAATATCTCCAAGCATGACAAAAAAAAAATGTGGAAAACTGATTATTTAAGTGAATTTTCTTAGTCCAAGGACCATAACTCTGCACAAAATCATCAGACCAGAACAAAATTTGATCTTGAAATGTAACTTTTCATGATAAAACTATATACCAATTATCCAATCAAAATCTGCAAGCATGACGAAAAAAAGTGCGAAAAACTGATTGTTAGAGTAAATTTTCTAAGTCCAAGGACCATAACTCTGCACAAAATCATCAGACTGGATCAAAATTCGAACTTGATCTGTAACTTGTCATGATAAAACAATATACCAAATATCAAATCAATATCTTCAAGCACAAAGAAAAAAGTGTGGAAAACTGATAGACAGACAGACTGATTGACGAAATGCAAACCTAAAGTCCCCTTAGACTTCGTCGGTAGGGGACTTAAAATGATCACGGTTGAGTTGGTGATACAACATACAGATCAAAAGTAGCATTTCTATATTTCAAATCTAGGTTACAACCTTAAAATAAAATTAAGAATGGAAATGAGGAATGTGTCAAAGAGACAACAACCCGACCAAAGAGCAGATAGTCTTGATATGGCAGCCTAAATTGAAAATGAGAAGCTCCATGTAAATTAACATCAACTATAAAAATATAGATAAAAGTTTTCAGCAAAATGTTCCATTATTCATTGAAGATACCTACAACTTTTGAGAGCCCATATGATAACAGAGAGAGGTAGGTGATGAAGAGCAAACAAGGAACACAGAAAAATATTTCAACATACCTGTCTATTTTTGCAGTTTTATGCCAACCACCATATTCAGGCATTGGTGCGCCATCTTTCAATTTTCCCTGGAATATTACATAAATAAATTTAGAAAGATATCTTCTAACTCAATCTTATCTAAAATAATAAATCCTGTATTCAGGTGCGTGGTATATGTATTATATATATGTATATGACTATAAACTTGTCAAAAACAAGTTGCTGTTTTTATGACTTATAAAAAGTGATTTTCTTCGTTTAGGAATTTATGTGAAAACTTCAGTTGCTCATCACTTATTTTAATGTTGACCACTACTTTTAATTTACAAGTGCTAATGCGTTTCTCTCTATGATGTTTATCACAGTCCCTCCTTTCATGCACACCTATAAATCTGGAATTACCTATTTCCTACTGATCTATTTAGGATTACTTCAGCTACATTTGAACATACAATTACTAGGAGTGTTTGATGTCTTTGGCTAGCATCTCAGGACTTCCATAGATGGCCTCATTCATTAATTAAGAAATTGTGGAGAAACTAAGATTCCAACTCGCTAAGGCAAAATTTACCTTAAATGAATTTGGCAATCTGTTTAGGTCCATTTTGGTCATATAGCTCCTAACCTTGCAACATATTAATGCCCCCTCCCCCCTCAATGTTTTTCAAATGTTTAGGTTTAAGCATTGCTGATCAAGGTAAATCCAGGCACATGAAATTTATCAAGTGTTGTTTCCATTGAACATTGATTAAATTTAATACAGAAAGCTAATAAACATAACATAGGTTTATCTACAAATGCAATCATTGCAAAGGTATTAGATGACTCATAATAACCTTTATCTAAAGTTGTTCTTCTACTTACCTTATTTTCTTCTCTTTCCTCAGCTTGCATCCATATAGGTTTATTATCACCTGAAACATAGATAATATTGAATTAATGAAATAAGTAGTTAAGTTAAATGTTACCAAATACTATACATAGATTTATTTGTACTTTTAATATTTAATATTCCAGAAGATTTTACTCCCCATTCTTAATACAAGATAAGAGCGTTAACAGAAAAATTCTTTTTTATTGCACCCTGAAACGTATTTGCAACGTTTAATACTTTGCCTTAACCTATGGTAGTCACATATCTGCAAATGATAAAATCTTATCTTCTTTGACATACTGTATAGTGCAATTCTAAGATTTCTATTCATTTAAGAATTGAACGCTTCTTTTTGTAAATTTATTGGGGTGTAAAAGCGTTGACCGAAGTACATTTTGTATGAAGCGCAGAAGCGCTTCATTCTAAAAATGTGCACACGGTCAACGCTTTTACAACCCTGTAAAATTACTAAAAGAAGCATTCAATACTTATAATTACATTTTTTTGCTAGGATCATGAAAACACGATTTCTATCAAGTTTTTCTTTTATTTACCTGTGCACTTTATTGTGGAAACTCGTGTCATGAATTTTACATTTCATTTTGAAATGAAGGTTTATTTCAGAATGACGCGAGATTGCTGTTAGCAAATCAAAATAACGTATTATAATGAAACATACATGTAATGTAATTATATAGATATAGTATTACCTAATATTGGCTATTGCATAAAACCAAGTTTACTATTTGTATCAATTTCAAAAACTAACTTGTTTAGTTTATTGACCAATTGTATCTGTAGCAGTGTTCCCGCCTGCCCCAAATAGAAGGGCGACCTGCCCTTGGTGTCCTTAACCCCGCCTTTCTGCCCTCCAAAGCAAAAAAATGCACCCTTCTGCCGTTACAACAATAAGCTTAATCAAATTACATACATCTATCGTCATTTCCAGTAAAATTGTAACCTGCTTGTCTAAACAACTAATTAATTGACAATGACATATAATCAGATACAATAAACCTTGTGTTTAGGGAGGATTAAATATATCACATGTCTGGTTAAACAATATAAAGGGCACATTAATAGACTTAATTGGAATAGGCAGTAAATATTCAGTTTATTTTCCTGTTGTTTGAAATAAAAATTGTATTTTGAAAATTAATGTGATTGCATCACTTCCTGCCTTATCTCTTATATTTACAATACTCCTCACTAAGGAGCACTTTGAACTGTAAATAGTATTATTTGTTAAGCAATTTTATCATAATGTGATAAAACATGGAAATAACATCAAGAAATATGCTAGAAAAATGGCCTCAAGTTTATCTTAGAAATATTCCATTAAATTGTATGTGGGAGGGTAGGAAGAGAAGTTAAATTATTGAATGTGGATCATGGGTCTTTTTTCAGTATGCGTCTATTACCATTATGCAAAATTATCTAAAAAATGGTTCTTGGTTGTAAAGATATTTTGAAAGTCCCTTCCTACCCTCCCACATATATTTTAATGGAATAGCCCTTAGAAATATTGAAATTTGTTTTCAGGGGATATGCTTTATATTGCCTAATTTTATAGGTACATTTCTGAAGGAAGGGACTATGTATTTTTGGCATTCATTTTATTTAATGCACAAGTGCCCTAAATAAATAAACATCTTCATTCTAAATATACTTCTTAAAAAAATTGTGGGAAAATCCAACTACCCATATCTAAATAATTTGGGTGCCTCCAATCGCCAGCCCCCCAAAACAGATAATTTTTGGAACAGCCCTCATATTAATTCTTCTCATGAGAATTCAATTCAGAAGCTATTAAAGAAAAAGTTAAAACTACTAAGTGAAACTAGTTGATAAGGGCAACTATATCTTAAATATACTGGATATCTGCAAGAAAAACTTCAACAGTTTACAGTTTTTAAAAAAAAGATTATGTAGCGATCTACACACAGAATTCATCATTGGCAGAAAAAAAGACAATTGATGAATAACTTCTGTTTGTAATACAAGATCTGATTTCATTATACAGCAATTAAATCAAACTTACCGTCAACTTTTCCAAATTCTTTTTCATGTGCTCTGGTTAGTACTTCTTTATATAAAGCTTCTGCTAACTTATATTTTCCTTGTTTTAAATAAGCTGATGCCTGGAATAGTATAAGTGTGTGTAAAAATAATATTAAATATAACTTGTCGTTCATGAATTAACAAAATTTATTTTACCATCTTCAAAAAATTACTTCGAACTTCTTTACCTCAAAATTAACAAATCTTTATTCATGCTCATTTCAAAAAAAAGTTTTGACACACAATCCACTGTCTTTACTCTTTTTTTTTTAATAATTGTTTTTATTTAAATATCTATGAACTTATCACAAACATTTTTTTCAAAAGTAGTTTGAAAGTAACAATATAACACCAAGTAAGAATGTTCCATCGAATTTTACAAAACCATAAGTTCTAAAAAAAAAAAAGAGCAAAGTTTTATTTACTGCAAAAGATGTAGATAGTCAACCATGGAAATTACTGAAACTTTGTACATAATATTCTACTGAAATAAGTAAGAATTGAAATATTAATTTTACAGTATAGTATGTTGTCTTTAAGTTTCCATTAATAAATACATACATTTATTATTGTGAAATAACATCCTCAGTTCTTTTATATATTCTACCTATATTTTTTATGCATTGCTAATACAAATTTTTTTCTTCTTCAAAATTTACCAGTTTTACTAGTTTATACTGACTTTTGATACAGTTCTGGAATAGTTTTGTTTCATGCAGGGAAATAGTAAATAAAAACTAGCATTGGAGGGGCTATTTGATTGACTTTATAAAGCATATATAAATGATTAAAATAAACAACATATAGGAATGTACTCTCCAGGAATACTTTGATAATTCAATATTCACACTGAAGACAAAAAAATGCCGCCATACAAACAAGAGAGACATGATAAGACCTTTTTCTGTCACATGGTTCAAATTGAATGCGTTTGATTTTCCTAAATACTTGAATATTCCCCAATAGTAAGCTCTATAAAAAGCTGCATCAATATATAAGTATGTATGTTATTGGAATGATCAATAAATAGGATGTTGATGATAATGAGGTCCAAATAAAACATGCAAAATGTTTTTGTATGTCTTCATCACTAAAGCATTGAAAGCGACCCACTATTAGACAAAGGTATCACGTTTCTGTCTTAATTCTATGTATCAGTCTTTTAAAACATTTTTTCAAATGAGAGGCATGTTTCTATTTAATAAACACATTAACTGCTAGCTCTAATGAAAAAAAAATATATATATCTATGTTTAGTTTTTATAGAAAATTCAAATAAAAAAAAAGTGTTGGGACCTATTCAAAAGAAGTGTGGTTAAAATAAAAAGATTCTTGGCACACTTTGAGTAATTGTACAGAAATAGGAAAGATTCAGAAATCATATAAAATAATACAATAACATGTTAAAAGTCACAAAAGGAAAAATAAGAAGAGAAAGTAACTAAAGTAAAACCTTACCAAATTATTTTTTGTTTTAGAAACATTAGGATCGTCTGTACCTAAACGTTTCAAATAAATTTCTAAAGCTCTTCTATAATAATGCTCAACCTGTAAAATCAACCAAAATCATGCAAAACACAACATATAAACCAAGCAAAAAAAAAATTCCATATAAACAGGTCAATGTCTTCACACAGGTGGAACTAATTAGAAACTAGGTAAGTGCTTCTATTGGAATCACAGAACACCAAAAGTTATATTCCAAGTCAGTAGGAAACTTTTACAGTAACAATCTTCTTTTATATATATATATGCTGATTGCTTCTTTAAATAACATATTGTTTTTTGAGTGAACAAAAATAAAAGTTTACCATGATTGAGATTATTGAATTTTCTCCATAAAAAATATAATCTTGTATGACGTCATCCATATGAAATTAAATAATTCTAAGCAAATTATGATCAGCATAAATCTATGAAAAAACACCTTGTTTTCTGTGCGTAAAAATGGACGTAACTTGCAGCATATTTTCATAACAGAATTAAAATAGTGCATTCAATTTTATGGTTTAAATTTGATTATACCACGGATAAGCCAATCTGTTGAAATCCCAAGATATATTTCCCATTTTAGTAGAAAGAATATTTGCCAACAGAAAAGGCCAACCCATGCTATAAAGATCCCCATAAACAATGTGCTGCCTTGATTTATTTCTGAATTTTATTCATTTCAGTAGAAGACCCACACCTGTGTGAAAACATCATACATTTCAAAATAAAATAAAATTTAGCCACATGCAGTTTACAACATCCAAATAAATGTTCTTCTTGGGTAAGGCACAAGACAACATTGTACGGCCATCCTTACCAAATTATTCTTGGTTTTAGCAACATTTGGATCGTCTGGACCTAATTTACTTTCATATATTTCTAAAGCTCTTTGATAGTACTGTTCTACCTGGAGAAATCACAATAAATACCTTTACATCACAAATGAATTTAACCCTCTATAAACCTGATTTTTCAAAATAATTATTGTCCGATTTATAAAACATTTACATTCTATAGTCTGACAGAGTAGCCTAAAAGATATTTATACATTCAAATTATAAATAACAAATAGATCATTTTAATGTCATTGACAAGTTTTTTGAAGACAAAACGTGCATCTGGCGTAAAAAATTTAAAATCTAGCTTCTATGATGACTTTATATCCAAATAAATATTCTAAAGAAAATTATAAGCATTCTATTCATTATTTGTTATCTTTTTGATTTAGTATGTCTGATGAAGTTGACCCTAACATTCATACATTTTCTTGGCAGCTATTATTTGTGAAAAAAACTTGTGTTCAACTGAAAGATTTTGTAAGTAACTCGCAGACATCATCATACATCCATGATCGACTGCATCAAGTGAATATATCAACAAGTGACCTCTGTGAGCCTAACTCCCACAATGTAGTGTCAATAGCCTGAATTGATCAGTACAAACAATGTTTACTGACTACTTAAATCATTAGGCAACTGGGACCCTTAAGTTTATTAATGTATAATAACTAAGCTGTATCTAAGTGGTTAAGACATCTAAACCTAACGTTTTGTCATTGTTGGCCTGGATTAGTTTTTTGAATTATAATGATTCAATGTCTTTCAAGTTCTATTTTGAAACAAAACACTGCAAAAAAATATACATGTATAAACTTGTCAATTGTTAAAGAACATATGCTGACTTCTAGATGTTTTCAAGTATTTTTGTGTCACTGAGTTGCCGTCTCATTGATGTATACCTCACATCTCCCTAAGATTTATTCATGTATAACAAAATGTTATGAAATACCTGGATATTACTATATATCAAAGAATAAATCTTTATTGCTGTTCTTCAACTTGATGTTCAACTAAATAATCATATCTAACAGAGTCAATAAAAGATATTAGCATCTAATTCAACAAAAGTCATTGATAACTATCAATCACTGATAAATTTTTCATGAAAAGGTAGTAGCTTTTGTCTTTAATCTTTTGTTATTCAGGTTAAGTAAAAATAATTCCAAGTTATTTTGAAGCTCTATGGTTAACTATTTGAGGAATGTTTACCTCTTCATATTTTCCTTGATTTTGACATAAAAGAGCCAAGTTATTAAGCTGTTTGGCAACATCTGGATGATCTTTACCAAGTACCTGTAAATATAATGTTAAATAAATATATATACACAGAGTTTAAACATACCGTTGAAAGTTCATTATTAGACTTAAGATCTACATATCTAGATTTAGGTATTGTATTGTATTTCAAGATTTGAGGGCATCAATTCACGATTTTACAAATTGAAAAACTGTGTCATCCATCCTTATGCAACTGAAAGAAAACCCACCTAAATCATACCATTTAAAATCTGTCACACAATATAAATCGTGGAATTGATTCCCTCAACTTTGTGGGATTATCCAATCAAAATGATCGTTACAAACAATATTGCATCAGAATGTTAAATTTATCTATTTATTCTAAATATGATTGAACAGATTACTATTTCTTGATTGTCCATTACTGATTAGCAGATGTTTCACATGAAATCTCAACCAAACAATTATGAACAATAAAAACTTGTTGTTTCCTTTGTTGTGAGCAAGTGCAACACAAAGAAAAATCTATAATTAAATAATAACTTTCAATGACATTTTTAAACAAACTGTTACTTTGTTCAACCTGTTGCATTCCATTATAAAAATATTTTAAAAAGATAAATTGTAATGGCACATTTTACTTGACAAAACAATAGCTTTTTTATGCATCAACAGGTCGTTAATAACCATGGCCCTTTAATTGAATGTATTTCAAAATTTCAATTTAATCATATTTTGTTTAGAATATGTCCTTTTTATGGTAAATAGTCAGAAAATGGTGATTGTAAAACTAACTGAATCGGTAAGCTCAATTTAAACAGACAACTTTTTTCCATCTTACACATCAAGACAGTGCCCATACTCACTTTTTCTCTTATTTCTAAAGCACGTTTACATAAAGGTTCTGCTTCTTTATATTTCCCTCTCTTGCCATATAACACAGCCAAATTATTTAATGTTGCAGCTACCTATTAATGAATCAAATGTTTTCATGAAATAAGATTACTACTTTAAAACAACAATATACATAATATAATTTTCTGCTGGAAGAATATATAGTTTACAGTCACTTTACTGAAATGCTTCAAACCTTACCTATCCCAGTAAAAGTCTTTCAGTTTTTTTTAGAGTTTTACCTATGCCAAAAAACTGCATTACTTTTTTACTCTTTCTTGTCAATTTATATGCTTTTGTGGCCTTTTTTTTTTACCTTTAATTTAAGAAATTATGCATACTATCGTGAATATCTTTAATTAAAAACTGATAAATTATATTGATATTTGTAAATAATTTTGCATATTAATATTTTAATATAGTTATTTTATATAATCATGATAATAAGAGGACAGAGTAAAATTTTCCGACATTATATCGGTACAGGAGTAAAGATGTCCAATTTCTTTAGTATGGTCCTTACATATCATTAAAAGGGACAAAGACAGTGAGAAGCAACAATTCGTATCTGAGGATATTTATCTAGGAATTATTATTTTACATGGACCAATACACAATGTAGGTAAAAATACACCAATTTATTAAGTATTGTGAGGTTTATAGATATACAGGTTTATACAGGTGCATGTATTTGTTCCATTATAATATATATGTATATCAAAATTATGAATAACCATGTGTATCGTATGAATATCTGAAATCACTTAAAATTCTAAATGGAGTATGAATATTTTCAACAAATTCTAACAAAGTACAATCACAAATAACAACAATCAAATTTTAGTCATCCCTTTTCACCAGAATGCAAAGATTTTTTAACTACATAAGATAAGTTATAGTTGTTGAGAAAACTACTAAGGTCTTAAGGTCGAAAGCCCTCTTCCATGCTGGGAACCTGAAGATAAATCTGAATACGGTACTTGACTAACCAACTATACTGAAGCTACGTTAGTGAGATATTCAGCAAACTTTATGAATACTTTTAGAACTATATTCACAGAACTGAAACATGTAACACAATAATGCATGCTTTGACAATACATTCAACAGAACATATCTACAATGAACAGTTTTTGCACAAACGAAAACCATTTCAACCCATAAAAAATAAAGTTAAATATAAAAAAAATTGTAACTTTTCGTTTTCATTTTAATTTTAGCCTGCTCCCTCTAGTTTAACAAAGAACCAAATTAGCTAAAAAATTACACATTAATTAGTTTATACGAAATTCATGCACACATTTAAACATGATACATAATTTTAGCAATTAACTACAACATCATTTCCTCTAGTTTCCCATCTCTCTCTCCGTATAAAATTGAATAAAAAATTACAAACAGTTAAAATAAACACCAAAAATAAACAGGTAATCCGCTTTACACCACCTGTACATTGTGTAAAATAACAGCACAAGTTTTTTTCTTCTTTGAAATAGTCACATTTTTACTCTTTTCTTCCAACAGGATTCTATTGTTTACAAGTTCCTATTTATCAAAACAAATTATTTCAAAAACGTGAGTGCAAATCTGCAATTTACAAACATTTTTATACTTAAACAGTGAATTACTTTTGTTGTGGATAAATGTTTTCAGAACTCTAAAATTTGTAAATTACTAGCAAGTGCTATTTAATGCATACTAAACAACATAGCTCATTATAAAGCAGAAATTAGAAGTGCATAGATAGATGAATGTCTTCTTAAGATAGAATTTAAAAAGAAATCAAATATATTAAATTTAAAAAAGAAATCAAATTACAAATTTCTATTATTAAAGAAAGGTAAAACTTGCTTAGTTGAGAGAAAGCAGAAATTGTTGGCCTTTTGAATTGAAAAGAATTTGCAGAGGAGAATGGCTGTCTTCATGAGATGAAAAGTATTTTGTGAGTTCGTGAGAATGACAATGCACAGATGGTGTATGTTACTGGGTACAACATGAGCCACCATGGGTTATACATGCAGTACAAGAACTCACTGCTGGGTGATCATTTCCTAACGTTTTCTCACGGATGCCTAAAGCATCATTCAACAGGTTTGCAGCTTCTTTATATTTTCCTTGGTCTCTGCAAATTTCAAATCACACATTGAATACATTAAAATCAATTTGATGATTTATATAAGGGAGAGAGTTTGATGTAATATACCAGTGCAGCAATTCTAGAAAATTTAATTCGGTATTGGCCGAGTTTTGAAATAAAAAAAAATCTTTGCAAATTTCCCTGAAATTCATTGTAATTACATAATTTGTATGCTTCAGGCCAATACTTTTAATGAATCTTCTCCTGAGAGTGTTTTACCTACTTGCTGACTACAAACATCAAACTGTCTCCCCAAGATTCATATCAATAAGGCACTCACTGCAGGATGATCATATCCTAATGTTTTTTCCCGTATTTTTAAGGCATCGTGAAGGAGATTACCAGCCTCTTTATATTTTCCTTGATCTCTACAAAAATAGCAGCAGCAGACAAAATCAAACAGAGAAAACAGATCTAGATTAATGACATCTTTTAAACTATTCTGTACTGGACGGATTATTTTGTACATTGTACTGTCATTAAGCATCCCCCATGTCTTTGTTAGTACATAAGGCAAAATGAAAAAAAAAAGGTGCTTTCTTAATGGTTGCCACAAAAATTGAATGACAAAGTATGACCATTTTTTTGGGTGTATACCCGGAATTTTCTTTCAGCAAATTTCAAGCTGGCACAGTTTAACAAAATTTTCTCCATCTTGTTTTTTGAAAAAGAAATTTAAAATAAAAGGTTTTTGCTACTGAAACCAACAACCCAATTACTATGCTACTGCAACAGCCAAACATACTTCTATTTTTGATGCAAAAGTGTATAACATTTTTACATTTTTACATATATGTATTTATTGATGAAGTAAAGTATAAAAGCACCAGATGTATAACCTTGTGATCTGTTGTGAAATCAATACCACTGATTTAATAGTATTATATCAGTCTGCCTACAGGATAATGACTGGTCGATTTTCACAAATTCATTGCTGGTGTGAATGAATTTGTCCTTTTAGTATATGTCTAAGCCTTTTAAATATTTCTGCTATACAAAATTTGGAAACTCTTACTTTGTACTTTTGGAAAAAGTTACACTGTAAATTTAAAGTGTTTAATTTTTTGTCAGGGGTTCATTTCCAATAATTACTTCACTTCAGTAAAATTATTTAGTTTTATCATCTGCTATTTCCAACATTTTTTATGCAATTTTTACTATCAAAGTTCTCTAAAAACTCTATTTCACTAACATTGACCACAACTACAACCCTTTCTATTTTATTCTCTGTCGCGTAGAAAGGGAGCACAATAGCACCATAATACATAAAGTCATTGTTGTTGCCTAAGAAAATAGCTACAAGCAAATTATTTTTTATCCAGAATCAAGAAAAGGATAAGATAATGTATTGAGTTAAAAAAACATAAATATAAAACAAGCACAAAAGTTAGATGTTTTTCCGGAAGAAACTTGACCACCGGGCTAAGATAAATAATGTTAAAAAGAATGTGTGTGAGCCCTTTGGATGTACCATGTTAATTCTGGGTCAAAAACTTATAATTAGAAAGTTCACATCATAATGAACATGGTACTAAGTTTCAAGATGATGTGACCACAACTTCATGGTAAGCTACCTTAGACCAAAACTTTTAACATGATACTGAATAGACAAACAGCGGCACAGACTAGGAAACATTATGCCCTACTATTGTAGTCAAGTCATACAAATCAATTACCATACACTGTGATAATGTGAGTACCATGGAACAAATCAATGACTGAAAAAAAAATTCTACTTTTTTCAAGGCATCTGATGTAGTTTTTCAATAATTGATCTTTTCTTTTAACTTGACATAAAAGTTGTTGTACATCCTATTAAAATATTTTCCTGACGGCTTAAACATCAATTTCTGCAATCATTTTTAAATGCATCCATTTTACCTGTATACAAGAGCCAAAATGTTTAACATGGTCGCTACGTCAGGATGATCATGGCCGCTGGTCTTTTCTAAATCTTCTAATGCTTGTTTACATAAAGGTACTGCTACTTCGTATCGTCCTTGTGAGGCATACTGGATGACTAGGTTGTGAAGGGTACGTAGCCGGGCTGGGATTTCATAACCACCACTGGCTGCTTGGGCCATTGCACTAGGTTGAGATGGAGATAGGACTGAAATGTGATAAACATGTTTAATTAGTACTTTGTGTAATTAGCTGCTGTCTCATCGACTTACTTACCCATTACATGTTATATCACAGGACAGTTTTGTAACAACATACAATATTATGCCACTTTTTGTGAAAATATTTTGATAATATGCAATCAAATATGAACAAATATGTCAATGATGCAGATATGAACTAGGCCATAAAAATGAATATGTTTGTTTGCCCTAACCCTACCTACCCAGAAAATAGCTGCCTACTCAAAATCTTTTATTGTCCTGATGTGAAAAAAATGTTTTTTAATCAGATAGGCATGAAGACTAAAAAAACATCTGACACTTCAATTTCTCCTTGCCGAAAAAAGAAAAGAAAATGCCTACCTACCTACCCACTGTCTCTATCTTTGGGTAGGGTTTGGGCAAACCAAAATATTTTTAAGTGTGGCCCTATAAGAACTGTAAAGAAGCATAAAACAAGTAAAAGTTACATCAAAGAAACATTCAAAAATATTTATGGATTCCTTTGGCTTCTTGTTATATTCAACCCAATAGATTCAAATTCTGGTTATGAAAACAAGCAATATGTACATTTTTCAATTTCCTTCACTATCAGTAATAGAACTGGACCATTCTAAATTTATTGTACATTTCTTTTTTGGCTTAATAACATACCTTCTGGTTGTGGTCCATCTTCATCATCATCAGGAAAACCTAAATCTAGAGATTGGGTAGACTGGTCCTGTTCTTTTTCTTCAGTACCAGACTACAACATAATCAAATACATTAAAACAACAAATAACTGAAGATTAATCATCCTTAAATAGCTTATATACTGCCCATTAGATATTACAAAACCTATTCTAATTATTTTGAAAATGGCTTGAACACTGTTAACTAGATAATAAGCAACCACAATTTTAATACAAAGTAATAAAACTTATTTGTGAACTAGCATCATGATTCTCAGGTTACTACATCATTCAATTTATGTTCTCATTTGTAGAAATGACATATGTACAGTACCTAGCAATATGAATAAAGCATAAAAGGCAAGTGTTCTCTTTTAGCATGTGCAATATTTTCGACAAGGGCTAATTTGTTGGATTGAAGGATTGAGGAGACAGAGTGAAATATATTCAAAGGTCAAAGGTACTAGATCCTTTTATGGTAATATGCATGCATACCTTGGAACTGCATTTAATGGCATAATGCAACATTTTTTCCTGTTAAAATTGACACTAAAAGTTCATTCAAATTTTTGTGAAAAAAATCCAGCATTTTGTCATTGATTGCAGCTTCTGAGCATACCTGCAAATTATCATTGAAGGCTCCACTTATGAAAGTGAAAAGTGAACTGAAAGTATTAATCTATACATATATACTTGTAAAATGTAATTATTATTGCTATATTCAATTTAGTATTAGTAACCAGAGATTGCAAGTTTTACAGAACTTTAAAATTACAGATAGCTTTCTTACTCAAAATTACATTTTATAAAAAATCTTAAAATCAAACAAATAAATTGTAAACTTCTTTAAATTCACCCTCTTGATTAGTATAAATTTGTTTTTCATCATGCACAGAAAACCTCAAACTTCATGTGTTAATTTCATTTTAAATTCACCTGTTGTTAATATCTTGTTAACCATCCTAATTGTCCACTACCCCTCAAGAATGAAGCCATTCAAAATTAAAAAATACTTTCCCACTTTTTTTCACAAAATACATGTATATCAAATCATGATGTTTCAACTTCTATCTATTTCAATACATTAAAATTTTGAATGGCATTTATATTCCTTTAGTCGATACTTTATATCATACCTTAGCACTATAAACTATGTGTTAAATATTTTTCATTAATGGTTTTTGTAAGGATAACAGAATCAGGGAAGGGGAGACAATACCTGCTGCGTTTGTTTCATTTGTTTGATTAAAGTCTCTACGTCCTGTTTAAAATAAATATCAACTTTATTACCCTACCAAAAAGTCTATTGTGGATTCAGTATTATTAATGGGATACCAATTTTTGTGGAATTTATAAGTATATGTGAACCACAAATTTAAATATTCAACGAATTACAAATTTTCTATAGTCTTGCATGTCGACTTTGGCATAACCGAGATCAAATATCCATGTGAAGACACTTATTCCTAAATGCAAGAAAATTGGTATCCATGGAAATAAAAGACACCACAGTATTAACTGTTTCAATGTATACTTTCAAAATATTGCATTTGGCTACTTTTTTTCCCCCATCTATTCCTCACTAATTTTGCTAATTGTGTCGTCTATGTACAAGTTCATAAATTATTCAACCAGTCTCATAAACAAAACAATTCCATTAAGAATTACTGATACATTTTACTGCCTATAAATGATGTTTACAATTAATAAAATTGTCATCTGTTGTTACCAAATCAACAGTTTCTATACAAGCTATACAGTAAATAGACTGTCCTTTCGATCAAGATTTCCACAATAATTAGTTATGGTATATATATAGTATGCCTATAAATATAAAGGTTTTGCAGAATTTTTTAACACAGAGGATGGCGGAGTTAAATTAAAAGTGAATTATGACCCCTCTTTCAAATAAATTTACAGTGTATCATTATGTCTGGGATATCCCTCAGTACTTGAGCAAATTAATGTGAACACAAGTTTTTATCAAATTCAGTTTTCCAGTATAAACTTCATGAAACAGATATTCCCTTTTTTAATTTTCCACTTAAGAAATGTATTAATTCTGTTCATAAATCATTAAGGTATCCCGTATGAAAATTTCAACAGGAGTTCAACTGGACTCAAGCTGGACTTGAGACGTATTCCAGTCTGACTTTGAAAAGTCCAGTCTGACATGAGCCGTACACGTACTTTTTCTTATACTTGGGTTATTTGCCAGCCAGTATTTTCTTAAAAGTCCAACCGCACTTTTTGTAATGCTTACAAGAAAATAAACACAGCTGGACTTTTGAGGAAATTTATTCCTTTCTGTAGAATGATCAGCAGGATTTTTGTCTTAGAAAATTTTACATTCATTTATGAGCAGGAATTTAGACTTAGAAAATTTTCATCAGCCAATTTCTACCCTTACAGAAATAAAAAGTTTGCCACAATAGATTCTGTTCTCTGAAAGGAACAATTCTTTCAAAATGTAAAACAGTTAAAAATGAAAGTTTGCAAGTAATAATAATGATAAAATATTTTTTTGCAATATACTTTTAGTTCAAACTATAAGATGTGATACTTTCCCAAGATTTTCAATTCCATTATGAAATATTTAAGAGACTGTTAAGTTAAAATTAAATTTTGGTGACTTTTGATTGAACTATGTCCAAGTTAATATGTTTAATAAAAATATCCAACAATTATTTAACATTTCTAATTTTTTCATAAAAAAAAAAACCACTAGCAACATCTGTTACAGGTCAAATTTATACATTTTCTAGTATATTTATATTTAATTAGATGAATGCATAAAATTAATAATTATCATTCATTCTTTAACATCAATTAGAAACTTGAGCCATATAACAGTGATTTAATAGCAGTTAGTCTTGTAGAAATGTGCCATCTGTTTTCAATTAACCTCAGTCTGGACAGGTCACAGGAAGTACTATCTCCACAGAGATTGAGGCCATATGAGGGAGAACACATTTCGAAATACATATTTCTGCAATTACTATCACTTTTATTAAAAATTCATAATTAAACAAATTAATAATTGATTTTCTTTTTTTAATATATCACATATTCAAAATTAAGGCACATGCAATTAGTCATAAGAGGAACATTTAAAACAACTCCTTAACATGTTAAACAACCTCATATATTGCAATACAACAACATTTGAATTTGGAATGAACAGGAAGATGTGTCTTCTTTCTTGAACAAAATGAGAATTTTATATCATTGGATGTAAAGCAAATGTTTGGAAGTAGTTCTTTTCACATTAAATAGAGAAGATGGATCCTTCTGACTCACCAGGCATCAATGACAATTTAGGAAGATTGCTGTTTGCATGTGTTATGAATTGCATAATTCTGGTAAGTACAATAAATTGAATTCCACCATTTTGGTGATATTATCTGATATGCTCTTTTTTATTCAACATATTAATAAAATAATTACAATATTATAAATAGCTTAATTCTTATTTTTAAAGAGTAAAAAGAATAAAAAACCTACATCAAATATTTATATTCATGCAATAATGTTCATCTTGTCTGTTATGTCACTGTCACTTCCTGTTTTGAATTGTTGTGTAAAAAAATGTATTGTTATATTTTTTATTCCCTCTGTATGAAGGAATGGTTATTATTTGAGTTGTTTTGAAAGTTATTTGATTTCTACAATTTAAGTGATTTTCAAAGCCAACTTTATTTTATTTTTAGCCACTTTAAAATTATTTAGTCTATTTAATAACCACAATTTTTTAGAAGTTATCATTTAGCTTCTCAATTCCCCATTTCTTGGTTTTGTCAGTAAGACAGTACAAAAAAGAAAAAGAAATAACCAGTATATATGCATAATGTCATCTGTTTTTTTTTTGTATTTTCAGATTATAGCAAGGGATGCATGACACAAATTAAATCAGAAGAATCAACCATCTGAAGAAAAACTGAGCAGTGGCGGATCCAGGGGGAGGGTTCCGGGGGTTGGAACCCCCATTATTTTGACGATCAATGCATTTGAATGGGGACATATGGTTGGACCCCCCCCCCCCCCCTTTTGAAAATAGCTGGATTCACCCCTGCTGAGATCATCTTTAAAAGTCAAACCACACTTTTTGAAGTCCAGCTGAACTTTATAGAGTTCAGCTGGACTTTTTAAAGTTCAGCCGGACTTTGTAAAGTCCAGCTGAACTTTATAGAGTCCATATTTTTGCCAGAATTGCCGGCTGGATTTTTTTTCAGACGTACTTTTATTAAAGTCCAGCTGGACTTTATGAACCGGACTCCTGCTAATTTAAATATTTCGAGCCGGTTTACGGCTAATTTCGCTGAAAGTCCAGCCGGGGTATCTTTTATAAGCAATTCAAAGAAAAGTCCAAATGAATATTATAAGTACGGCTCTCAGTACGGCTACAGTACGGCTACTGTCCGACTGGAGTACGTGTCATGTTTTTCATACGGGAAGTGTAGAAATCACCTAAAACATCAGCAATAACATTCTTTTGACACCCAACACAATTTCTAATCAAGAATGACCCACTCGCACTATCATTTTCTATGTTCAGTGGACTGTGAAATTAGGGTCAAAACTCTAATTCAGCATTAAAATTAGAAAGATCATATCATAGGGAACATGTGTACTATTCAACTTCATCAAAAACTACCTTGACCAAAAACTTTAACCTGAAGCGGTACAGACGGACGAACGAACGGACAAACGAACAGATGCACAGACCGAAAAAACATAATGCCCCTAGGTGGGGCATAAAAAAATTGATCTAATAATCAAAAGGGGCTTGTGTTTTCAAAATCATAATTGTATTTCTTAATCGCCCTAGTGATACACAATATATATTTACAGAAATAAATAAATAATTTACCTGTGTTTGTGGATCATTACCATCATATTTTTTTATTTCGTTCATGAATTCTAAATGTTTTTTCTCTTCTTCTAATGTCGCTACTTTTTGTTCACTCATTTGTAATTTTTGTTGTGTGTTTGCTAATTCGTCTCTTAACCAAGCGTTTTCTTGACAAAGTCTTCGCACTTGGGCCCGTAACTTTTGTTTTTCTGCCTCTACATGTTGTAAATGATTAGCTAATGCCATCATCACCTAAAAATAAAGAAGCTTTTATTCCAGATATTAAATATTAGTAACTAGGAAATAGTGATGAATACCTTCGCTTTTTTTAAACTCTTGTTGATAGAGCTCCAAAGTATGCATATTTGCACTTGTAGGGGGCAATTGTTTACACATAAAATGTTTGGAAAACAAAATAATTTATCATATATGAAAAAGAAAATGTCTTGTGTAATTCAGGGATGAGGAAATACCAGCCTGGACTTGTCCGGCTTGTCCCAAAATATCCTGCTCAAATAAATATGTTTAAACTACTTGCCTGGGACAAGTTATTTCTGTAATATTTTAACCAGTCACAACCAGGGACAGGTCCAAAAATTTGCCAGGAGGTAGACTTTTGTATATATTAATTATCATTGGACAAGTGTAGAATTTTGATATATCTACACCCCTAGTATATGACTGTTATGTTCCCAATTTAAACATAGAGAGACCAACAGACAGAAAACCATACAGAAGGGACAGATATAAACCAATGTTTGTATATATATATATATATATATATTCCCCAATTATATTTACCAAAAGGACATGCAAAAAGTTTGTTGATTGATTTATAGCAAGACTACAGATTTCTTATCAGGTGTCATTCTACAAGTTAGCAACAAAGTAAAACTAGTTGTCCAACATTAAAGGATCTTATTACAACACAATCTGACTGATTACTTTTTACAATACAATTCTACGTAATACTTCCACTTCATGACTGTAATTTCCTTATGTAGGATTAAAACCATAAAAGAAAGTATAAAGTAAAATTTCATTGATTAATTTGAGAGATGATAGACAGTCGTTAATAACTGATCAATACTATATATCCAATTATTTTGATTGTATCCTTCTTTTGTTTCAAATACCATTAATAATTGTTATGTTCCAGTCAGTAATATTTTTCTTTTTTTATCAATAAACTTGTCTTATGTTTTCTACTTTCTTAACCAGAATTTTCCTCCTATCACCATGATCACTACCATGGCAATGGTAACTTTCATGGTTTATCTTATAAAGAGGGCAGAAAAATTCACAATACCAAAGGACTATTCAAGAAATAATGGTATCTAATTAGAATAGAGGACAGGAGACAGTTCCAAGCCAACAGTGCTACAGTATTCCAGAAGTGAACACAAAAAATGATAAAAAAACACATTTTGTTCCATCTAACTGTACATAAAATTTCCATTCTTAACTCTGAACCAATTTTAAGACAAATTCAGCATCGTGCAAGTAACTTCAGCTACAGAATGTTTTCACCTCAATCACCATGTCTTTTTTTTTTTTTTTGGTGTGTCATGGAATTTCATTGAAGTACACTCCATATCTCTTCCTAATCACATGTAAATTACCCAAAAAAATCGTACAGACACTCACCTGTGCCTCACTAAGTCCTAATTCTATTGTTTCTAGAGACTTTTTCAGTCGGTTAGTTTTTTCTTCGGTAAGATTCGTGTCGCCATTTTCCCGTTTTATAGATTTCATAGAGGTAAGTAATCCATTAAGAATCTGATGGTGCTCATTTTTTAGAGTTTCTAAACCTTGTATAATTGTCTTTGTATTAGAAGTTATATCTTCTTGTGTCACAGTCGTCATTTTGGCAATTTCTTCAATCTTCTTACTGAAAGCAGAAAACATGATATGATAATTTACAATTTTCTAAACATCCACATACAAAGTTCGAAGACAACATGTTGACACTGCAATTATCTTTCTTCAGATAAAACACAAGATGGCGAATATAAACCTAGTTCTTTGATGTTGTAGTCACTTTATTCTTACAGTTCCCGCAAAAAGTTTGTTTACAGACAATTGAGGGATCATCACAACCGATCTAAAAGTCCTTCTCCTCCACCTCCTTACCTGAATTACTTAGTACTACCCTTGATTCATGTTTACAACTTGTTATCTACATTGTATCAGTAGCACCTTTATATCAATGATCTAAATTTAAGATTATGATAAAAATTTATCACAGGTCGTTAAAGAAATTTTGAGTTCTGGTGACATAAAAATTTAAATTATCAAATTTAGCTTACAAACTTTTAAATATATCTTTAAAAGCACATAATTTTAATAATTAATTTATTTTCCAAAATTTTATTCTCTTTGCAAAAATCCTAATATCCATAATAATATTTTGTAGCATTCCCATTTTAATGCTCATCCTTTGTGGAAACCAGGTGCAAATAACATAAATGTTCTATGTCATCTTTAATTAGAATTTTCAATGCAATATCTAAACTGCTTGTATATATATGGATAAGAAAGAAAAAAGGGTACATGTACCAGAGACAACAATTTTCATGATAACCTAGAAATAGCCAATATATCAAACCCTATCAGCAATTTTATTGTTGTTTTTCATCCTGAAAGTTGCTAGAACCCTAAACATAATTATTTAGGAAAGATAATAAAGTAATTGAAATTCTGTTTGCATTTAATTACATTTACTTCTCAAGTTTCCTTCAACTTTCTTCCAGATTTTGTGGCCCCTCAGCCTTTTCCAAGGCTATGCAGGAACACTGTTTGCCCAGTAACCCAACTATTCCTCTCTTTTATATTTAAACATATATCTCAATTGCAAGTCTAGTCAAATTTTTAAAAATTCTTGTTATTTCATAAATTATTCACCCAGTTAATATTCTTAATTTCCCATATACATGTATTTTGTCAAAGTTTTGGAGAAACTAACCCAGTTAACATTGATTTCAATGATCCAATAAAATTTGGTTAAGGTAAGATGAACCCTGTCAGCCTGATATGTATACATGTACATAGTAAACCTATTACTTATAGTCTATTACAGCCAATTTCATTGAGTGTGTAGGCAAAGGTAATATCTTCGGTTAGCTTCCTTGGTAGCTGAACCATGAAGTCATTATTAGGTTAGGTAAACTATCCTCCTTTAAGATTAGACTAGTCCGACAGATAACCAATATATCTGTCTGTGGGACTAGGCTACTTCGAAAGGAGGGTAGTATACCTTACCTAATAATGACTTCACGTTTCAGCTAGCAAGGAAGCTAACCAAAGATATTTCCTTTGCCTACCCACTCAATGAAATCGGCTGTAATTGCAAATGGCTGTTATTAAAAAAAAAACGAAATATGGCTTATCTTTAATTGATTTTCCATAATTCAATGTACTATACATTATCTATTTGAAAAAGACATTATCATCGATGAAAATTAAATATATTAGAATTTCATCAGCAAAAATCATTAAAGTATCTTCTTTAATCAAACCATAGCGTTTATCTTCTATTTAAATAACAGCATCCTATGATCTTATATCAACATGTTAAGCAAACTTCATGAAAATAGTTCGAAAAATACAATACAGAAATACAATTTCATGTTTGACGATTGAATTTACACTATTGTCATAATTGTAGAATTTCAAACAAGTTTTCTCCATCATATTTATACCTACAAATCAATGAACTGTTTGTAGAGGAATGTAGACAAACATTCCACACCTGACTCAGGTATTGATCAGAGAAATGTCCCAGCTTAATTACATGCAGAGTATTACAAGTTTAATGGTCCAATCAATGAACATTGTCATTTTTCTCATTTTGATTTGATATAATTGTATTTTTTCATCAATCTTTTGCTAACAATTATATAACTTGTTACGTTTGGAAATAGTTTTTGTTGTTTTTCTTTATAGCGCTATGTCCCATCTGTTATTAGATATCACTTCAAACTTTTTCAAACATTTATATCAAATGCAATTTAAAATAAGTAGTCCCTACAACCAATGCAATGCAACAGAAAATTACCTCAAATGATTTAAAACCTGCTAAATATGATGAATACTTTGCAATACAAATTCAATGAATAAAACTGATAAATCAATACCATTCTTACAATACATGTACTAATGTTTGTGGATTTTATGGGCGTTGATCATGACTGAGTAGAGGTTGACAGGTGCCCAGTATCCCAGGCTACTAAATGCATGGCTGGGAACCTAAATTCTAGCTGAAGATGTCCATAGTCATGATAGTAATAATGTTAATCTTTTATATTGTGACAGGAGACTATGCCCTTAAATGGAAAATGTTAGCCTTTGCCCTTTGCACTGTATAGTTTAACCAATAATGTATTGTTCAACAAAATATTTACGGTCTACAAGATTGTAGTACTACACAGGATTTCTAAATACCATGACTTAAAAGTGCCCAAGAAAACAGAATTTCCCTCAATCCAGCAAATTCCAAGGTCCCAGTTTTATCTTTTCATACAAAAATATTAGTAGCCCCTATATGAAAATGTCAATGACCTCAGAGAACTAGGATTAGACTCTCCCCACCACCTCCCCCCATCCTTTTGACAGACTTAGGTGAAAAATTTTCCAAAAAGTAATTAAAAGCCAGTTATATATATATGTATATATATATCCAAAGCCCAAATAAAATTTTTGTCAGAGAAATATAATTATAAATGCAAATTTGAATGCAAATTTAGATATAGATGTATTGTATATATAATGGGAATCATTGTTTTAATCATTTTTGATAACACAAGCAAAAGCATTGAGACATTCTCATCCCAAATTTTCACGGTCAAGTTTTTCATGTAACTTATAATTATAAAGTCCTTAATAGTGACAGCTGGTGCATAATTTTCAAGCATTTGACATATTAAGATTTTTTTTCATAGTTAATGAACACATGCAATAGATCTGACTCATTTCTTGTTTCTCTGGTCGATGTAAGATAATAGGTGTCAAAAAATATGATGATTTAGGCATAAATATCGGTGGTCAGAGTGCTTTTCTGATGTGACTCATTAAAATTTGTGAAAAATTGGAGACTTAGTATGTTTTTTCCACATATATTGAGCCTAAACTACAACATCACAATTTTCAATGTTACTAAAGATTTTTGAACAACTTTGAGGCTGAAGATTTTCCTCTTCTTTTAGTCATTTCAAAATTTTTCTTATTATCCTGGTGTCTCATTTTTCAAATTTCACAGTACTTTTAGAAGAGGAAAGACAAAGACCCATCATCCATTTAACAACAGTACAAAATGCATCAGTGTACATGTATCTAGATTATTTAGATGTCAAGACAAGCAGTTATATGTTTAAGCAATAATATTTTTTTCTAAAAAAGCCTCAGATATATCAAAATTATTACTTTGACAACTTTGCTAGTTTACAGACCTATTGGTCAATGCTCTCAGTAATCTAGTGTAAATTCCAAAATTATCGCCTGCACTTATTATTGCGATTGCTGAATGATTGACAAAAATGGAGACTGATTATTAAGTTTTAAGAAAATGCATCATACAAATGAATTATCAGAATTTAAAATGCTGGTCTTTATTCTTGCGAAACCTATCCATCGCAATTATCTCTGAATTTACAGTATTATCGAACAGCAAAAGGTTTGCATAAAAGTGTAACAAAAAAGCATATTATCTCTCAAAGTATCTTACTATTCTGGCCTACACAAGTATTCAGTGAATTTCAGAAAGACTATTTATAACTTTCTTCCACATATTCCATTTAAAACACCTTTACTGATCAGGTGAAAATCAACAAACCATGACCGTGACAACAGTATGGAGACAGCTGTTTCTTAATCCTGTCAAGAATTCTTCATCATTTATACCTTGTATTACCTGAAATCTATCTTTTAACAATCTCTTCATTTACACCTCAGGTGAAAAAAAGCAACAAAAAAACACTCTATTTAAAACCTCAATCTGGTAAATATTTTGACAAAAAGCGTTGATAGATCATTTTTACCTGAGCTTTTAACAGCAACAAGATGAGTCAACCTCGGCATCCATAAAAAGATGACGACACAAGTTTTATTTATTGATCTGTGTTTTATTTTCATCTGTTGCAATTTTAATCTACCTTACTGAATAGTCCCCATTATTGTATCATATTGACTTTCTGCTCTGCTGTACGGATAAATGTACCCTTGTACTCTCCGAGATGATTGTCATAATGAGACAAAATATATACATATGATTAAGAAACACAGAACTGATTAAATCTACGTAAAAAGTCAAAAATGATGAAAAATGGAACACTTACATTCTGTATGCCTTCATCGTCTCGGTGGCCATGATAATTTCCGTCGACATTTGTAAATTTTGGACCTACTACTTTTTAACACAAACAGCATCCATAATAAGAAGATATTCTAGGAAAATTTGGAATGTTGTATTGATTTTAGATATCAGGGGATTCATGCGTCGTTAGAATCAACAAGTCTCAGTCAAAAAAACAAACACAACACTGAAGCCGACTTCTAGACATGACATTATGCATTATTTAACAATTTAAAAGACAACTTATTATTAACTTATTTCCAAATATGATTAAAATTAATTAATTATCTTGAAATGAAGTACCAGACTCCCCTACTTTATAAATAGACTCTACCAATATGGAGCCAAACAAGAATATACAGAAGAGTATTGATTTTCTAGAAGAATCATATTGATTCCAAACATCAATGATGTCATTCATTGAATAATTTATTCTATAAATCTTTTGTATGTATCTGGTGTATTCAAGGTCAGGAGGTCAATAATTATAACCATTGTATCTACTTCCTTTACAGACATAAAACTGTATAACACCCCATCAT